ATATAGATAAGACCATGATTTCATAGGTGGGTTGATGAGGTTGACTTGCAAATGGTAAGTAAAACCAACAGCAAGCTTTTTGGTCGAAAATGACAACGTTCCTACTTACTGCATTTACATTTTTTTAGTTAAAAATGAATATCTTGTATGATTATCCTTTTGTAATGGAATTAAGAAATGTTTATGCATCAATTTAATTCTGCATCAACAGTTTAGAAGGACTTTTAATAAATTTAAGGCAAATTACGAAAAAAAACCCTCTTATTTATTTGGTAATTACAGCAATTCACCAACTATGTATTGTCTTACACATCCACTTTTACAGTCTCAATTTACATATTGAGTGTGGATTTTTTTTGTACGACAATACATACTTGAGGGGATGGTTATAATTACTCAAACGTGAAATAATTTTTTTCTTAATTTGACCTTACTACTGAGGGTAGCCGTAATTTGCCCATAAATTTATTACGACGAACGGTACATTTTAAAGTGTGCACACAATTTATTTTTAATACTACTATTTTTTCAATAGATTAAATGGTATATACTTGGATAGGTAATAGAAAGATAAATATTGGAGGTAAATTGGTGGCCTTCAATTATTTTTGTTTATATATTATTTAATATTACATTAACGAAATTAACAATTACAGACAAAGCAAAAGTGATGCTTGCCCAGTCGAACAAACTTTTAGGAGCACATACTTTATAAATAGCAATTTAACAAAAACATAGATAAATTATAAAACAAATCTTAATAATATGGGTTTGCAAGAGACTTAATAAATAGTCACCTAATGATGCTTGCACGTTGCCTTTGAATTTAAGTCACTTATTTCACATATATCCATTTTTTATTTGTAATTGTGTGGAGACCGCCCACTCATATGCCCGTTTGTAAATACATAAATATTTCTTTTTAATCATTAACATATCTTATTAGAATTTAGATAGAAAGTTTAATTCTTATTCGAACTTAGATGGAAAACTTGGCAAATTCGAGAGTTTAGATTTAAAAAAATAGGGTAAATTAGAACCACCTCCGAGGTATGAAACAAATTACGAAAAATCCTCTCTTATTTGGATAATTACGTCTACCCATCAATTAAGAATTTTCTTACGCCTCCACTCTTATGGTGTTAAATTCAACCTAATCATCTAGATTCCGTTGAATGTTTTCTAGTTTGTACTCGTTTTGTGCCAAAAATACAGCTTCTGATGTACCACAATTCGATATATACACGCCAAAAAACACACCTTATGATCATCTTACTTCCAATTATGGAGCTCGAATGGGATAAAACGAGTACAAAATTGAGTACATTTCATATAATTTAGAAGATTCCACTAAATTTAAAACCACAAGGATAGACATGTAAAATATATAGTTGAGGAGGATGATCGTAATTATCTAAACAAAAATAGAGGTTTCGTAATTTAACCATACCTCATGGGCGGTTGTAATTTACCCAAAAAATATATAGTATAGTTATAAAGTTCAGCAAAGAAGAGCTAATTTAGAATTTTTAGGAAATAAATATGTATGTAATGTAGTTTTCGAGGAGAACATAAATACATATTTTTAGTTAGAGAGTTTAACAAACTAAAGTTCAGATGTAGAATTTGTGTCATTGTGTGTAGTTCTATATGTGTGTATCCCCGTGTACGTGTATGCATTATTATATGTGTATTTGTGTGTACACGTATGTGTGTCTCCAGGGTTGTTTCCGAGAAATTGGGGGCCCTAGGCGAGTTTTAAAAAAATTGTAAAAATTCGGCTCTAGTTGTACTGTATAATATACACATTAATTCATTCAAACAAGCACAACTGGATAAGAATATTTTGATTAACAATTAAAAATTTTGGAGAAAATAAGACTAAAATTTTGACGAAGTTAAGGTAAATCAAAAGTTTAAGGGATTTGGGGTAGAGCCTACAGCTTTTTTGAAAAATAGTCATAGATATATGGGATTTTTATGCAAAAGTCCCCAACCAAGCATGTTTATTATTCTAGGTATAGGGGACATATCTCTTTCACCAATAAGCCCATCCCTTTAATATTTATTATAACTAAAGGAAACATTCATTGATATCCCAATATTACCCTCAATCATTTATACCCAATTCTTAATTGTAATCCAAATTAATCAATTTTGTCCATAAAAGTTCAATTTTGACCACAAAAATTCAATTTTGACTTTTTTTTGGAGTATAATTCAATATGCTCCAATTTCATCCTTAACTTAATTTAATCTCAATTTGACCCCAAATTTCACAAATTATTAAATTTTGACCCAAAATTTTTTTTTTTTTCAAAAAAATTTTTTTTTTCAAAAACTTTTTTTTGCCGCCGGATTCCGGCGTTGACCGGCGGTCAACGCCGGTCTCCGGCGTTGACTTTTTAAACTTTTTTTTTTTTTTTTTTTTTTTTTTTTTTTCTTCCGGATTTTTTTTCCGGATTCCGGCGGTCAACGCCGGTCTCCGGCGTTGACTTTTTTTTTTTTTTTTTTTTTTCTTTTTTCTTTTTTTTTTTCTTTTCTTTTCTTCCGGATTTTTTCGCCGGTTTCCGGCGGTCTCTTTCTTTAGTGTTTTTTTAAGTTTTTTTTTTTTTGTTTGGTTTGTTTTGTTTTTCCACGCCCGCCGCTACACGTTGACCGTAATTGTGCTGTCACTGACAGTAATTTAGCGTAATTATACTGTCAATGATAGTTAATTAACGTAATTGTACTGCCGTTGACATTACATTTATGTAATTGTGCTGCCGTTGACAGTAAATTAATGCAATATTATATTTTTTTATTTATTATTATTGTTTTTTATTTTTTTTGATTTGTTGACAAGTCAACGTAATTATATTACTGTCGTTGACAGTAAAATAACTGTAAACACAATAATATTACTGTCAACAACATCAATATTATTATTTTTTTGGGGTGTTTGTTTTGTTCGAGTTATTCACGAAGTAACGTAATAATATTACTGTCTACTATTGTAATATTACTGTTGCTATAGTAATATTACTGTCACTCACAGTAATATTAATTCTTTTGGTTTTTTTTATTTTGTTTACATTTGTTGAACGGACAACATAGTAATATTACTTTATTATACAATAATAATGAATTTTGTTGTGTTAATATTAATGTGCTAGAGATTAATATAGCAATATCAATGTGTTAAACTATAGTTTAGTTAATTTTACAGTGTTTAACAGTAATATAGTTAATATTACTGTCATTCACAGCAATATTGCTGTTTAAACGGAAAAAAAAGTTACAGAAAAAAAAAAAAAAAAATTAAAAAGTCAACGCCGGAGACCGGCGTTGACCGCCGGAATCCGGAAAAAAAATCCGGAAGAAAAAAAAAAAAAAAAAAATTAAAAAGTCAACGCCGGAATCCGGAAAAAAAATCCGGAAGGAAAAAAAAAAAAAAAAAAAAATTAAAAAGTCAACGCCGGAGACCGGCGGGAGTAAAAAGTTTTTGAAAAAAAAAAAATTTGTGAAAAAAAAAAAGTTTTGGGTCAAAATTGAATAATTTGTGAAAGTTGGGGTCAAATTGAAGTTAAAGTAAGTTAAGGATGAAATTGGAGCATATTAAAGTAAGAGGGGTTATTTTAGTCCTTTACATAAATCTGGACCATGTGTGGACTTATTGGTAAAGGAGAATATTGTCTGGATCTCTTTATGAATAAGTTCCCACTAATGGGCTTATTTGTAATATGCCCTAGATATATTACTGGAACAAGTAAATATATGTAAAAAAAATATAATAAAATAAAATATAGTATATTTCAACTTGTCAAAACTTTTTGAAGTTAAAAAAATAGACGATGTACACTACTGAAAAATGCAAAGATTGCTAAAAAAAAGTTTAAAATCTTGAAATAGATAAAAAAAAAATTGATAGAAGAACTTAATATCTAAAAATTGATCTAAGCCATTTCATTTACATGAAATGCAATAATAACTATAAAAAATCCAATAAATACTTAAACTGTGTAAAATAATATAATTATGGTTATTGAAATTGTTGAACTATTTATATATTTTAAATAACATTTACTATAACTAGTGTATATAAAATATACAAAACATCATTTCGAGGCCCCTACGTTTTTTCTAAAAATTGGGGGCCCGAGGCGACCATCTCCCTCGCCTATAGCTAGAATCGACCCTGTGTATCTCTCTAAGTTGTGCAAGAGCGCTGAGTTGTTAACTTAGCTTCCGGAACTAAGCTTTGCACGGAGAGAACTTAATTACTAACTAAGTTGTGTGAGAGAGCTTAGTTGTTATTTAGGTTGCGCCAAAAAAGTTGTTCGTATATTTTCTGGACTAAATAAGAAAAATATGTGTTCTTAACTGAGAGGACTTCAATTTTTGATGGCTCATGAGAGGAAAAGAAAAATAAAGAACATCCTTATAAGAGAGGATTTCAATGTTGAGGGACTTATATAAAAATGCCCCTATTTTGTAAGAAAATTGTATGGTATGTTTAAGACATTGTAAATAAACGAAAAGAAGAGTGTCGAATAATTTATTGACTAAACGTTGATTTTTTAATGCTCCTCTAATAATGAATGATGTTACAAAGTGCTTTAAATGTTGCATCTAATCATACCATAAATAATACAGATTTATAACTCAACAATTGTCGTTTCCATAATCTTTTGTTGGACTAATTTATTTCCATAGTTTTAATCTCCTTTACTAAATTTTCTCTTCCTTATTATTAAAAAAAAAAAAAAAAAAAGGTGAATGTTCAAGCCCAATTATTGTTATCTTAAAATCATTGTTTTTAGGATTAAAAATAGTATAACCAAAGATGAAAGATAGATCATGTCGAATTTTGACTAATTTTTTTTTTGTGAAACAGTCAAATTCTATCATCGATTCTTATATTAAAAAACTTGTTCTTCCATTTGTAAAGAGTTGAAAAGAAGTTCAAACGAAAAACCATTGGATTCCTCCTTTGTAGTTAGAGTTCAATCCAATATCATCATCAAAAAGAAGGTAACAAGTTATGAAATGGAAAAATATTTATTATTATATACTCCGATTTCTCTTCCTCTCAAATAATAAATTAATTGTATTTTTTATATGGTGAAAATAAGGACCATCAAAAGACTCCGAGGCTTTCGGCTCGGAAACAGGTTCGTGAAGTTGAAATAGAAAATAATTTACAAAAAAGAAAAAAAGAAAAAAAAAGTATTTATTTATTCGTTTTCCTTTTTCTGGGCGGTTTTTCTTTCTCCTCCCAACCTTATTCCTATAACTTCTCCACCACCCCCCTCCCTCTCTCTCTCTCTTCTCTCTCTGCTTTCTTCTTCTTCCTACGAGAAATTGAATTGTGCCTCACCGTATTTACAACCCCCCCACACACACACACAAAAACACATATATGTGCGCGAAAGTTTATAAATATATATGTGAAGGAAAGCATGCATTTTGATTCCTGAATGGTGGAGAATTTATTTGGGGGATACATTTCGATCAACGATTTCTTGGTTGGGTTAAGCAGTCAGCATTAATGGCGGAGGGTTTGCTGCAATTCGATGTGGCATCGGTGGTGGAGGACGTTCTTCAACAGCATGGCAAGAGGCTCAGCGACATTGATTTGGCCTCCCGTAAAGCAGAGGAAGCTTGTACGATCACTTTTTTTTCCTTTTTTTTTTTTGCAATTCTTCTATTTCAAACATTTTTCATCGAATCTGCATTTTTTCATTTTTGTATTGATGAAATATACATTTCTGAAACTTATTGAATAATTGTTTCATTTGTTGTTGTGGTACTTATGTATTGGAATGTGAAATTGTGATATTGTTTGATTTGAATTTGGGTGAGATTTGGTATTAATGGGGATATATTATGATTATTTTTAATTTGACAGCATTGAGAAGATATGAAGCGGCTGGATGGTTAAGGAAGACGGTAGGAGTTGTTGCAGGAAAAGATTTGCCAGCTCAGCCTTCCGAAGAAGAATTTAGACTTGGTTTGCGAAGTGGTATTATACTCTGCAATGTACTTAACAAGGTTCAGCCCGGTGCAGTGCCTAAAGTACGATTCGTGTTTTTTTTCGATTTCTTCTTCAATTAGGTTCCTCCACATTGTTTTAATATTAATTGATTTAATTGATGGATTAAATTCCAGGTAATCGAGGCCCCTTCTGATACAGTAAATGTTCCTGATGGTGCTGCTCTCTCTGCGTACCAATACTTTGAAAATGTTAGGAATTTTTTAGATTCTATTGAAGAAATGGGGATTCCAGCTTTTGAAGCTTCTGATTTGGAACAGGTATCTTTTTTTTGCTTTATATACTATTTTGATTTGTTGGAGAAGAGAGAATTGAATACAACTTTGTGTTATATTGGAATATCAGGGAGGAAAGTCTTCGAGAATTGTAAACTGTGTGCTGGCACTGAAATCGTACAGTGATTGGAAACAAGGAGGTGGAAAAGGGGTTTGGAAATTCGGTGGGAATTCGAAGCCACCTTCATCAGGAAAACAACAGTTTGTCAGGAAAAATTCTGATTTGTTTCTGAATTCACTGTCGAGGAACTCGTCTGTTGGTGACAGGTCTCTTGATAGTTTGTCAACTGAGCAGAGTTCATTCGGTGATTTTGGCCAGGATGTTAATGAAATGGTTTGAATAATACCTCCTACTATTATATCTATTTTTCAATAATGGCTGTTCCGTGATATTTATGCTTCGAATTACAGGATAACTCGCATTCGTTGCATGTATTTGTTCGTGAACTTCTTTCTGATAAGAAGCAAGAAGATATCCCCGTGGTGAGTCATCTTTTGTTTTGTCGGTTTCAAAATGCTAAGGGTCTTAAATTTCATGAATTATTATAGCAAACAACACAATAAAGCCTTATGACAAGATAGAAGAACTTGTTTCATGTAAGAGCTGAAGAAGAGAATAGGAAAGGAAACTGTTGGTTTGCTTCTATGTATTGTCATTTTGTAGCAAACATAGTCAAGTAATTATGTGATTAACTGAACGGAGTAAAGGACAAGTAGAGATGCAAAAGGTTTGTCTATTTTACAAGAAATCTCACCTATAAGAACTGCTGCTATTTCCTGAATTTCATACGATAAGAAACTGAACAAGTTCATTTTGCAGATTGTAGAGAATATGTTGCGTAAAGTCATGGAAGAATTTGAACATAGGATGGAAAGCCACAATGAACCGGTAAGCTCCTCATCGTCTAATTGACTATTCTTTACTTTTATGTAGTCTATTTAGTCAAAATGATTTACGAAAAATGAAGGAAAAAAAGCCTGAGTACTGTGATCCATTATTTGGTACAACAGGCTAGAACAATTTCCAGTATGGCCAAGCCAACTTCAAGTGATATGGCTAGAACAACTTCTGGTGATATGGCCGGAACAACTTCACGTAATTTGGACGGAACAACTTCCGGTGATTTGGCCGGAACAACAACTTCTGATGGTGATATGGGAGTTCTGTGTTCTGACAAGAGCGGGGAGATTGAGGTCTGATTAGAATCTGCATTTTGAATGATATTTACAGATGTTAACTATATATGAGGCTTGAATTTTTATATTTTTTTGTTTTTATTGCAGAGCACAAATATAGAAAAAGATAAGAGTTGGTCCGAGATACAATCTTACAATGAAGAATCCAATGGAGATTCTTTGAAGCACAAAGAGTTGGTCGAATACCAGCACAGAAGCATACAGGTAGGTCATCCACAATCTGAGATTGACTGTACAAAAAAAAAAGAAAAGAAAATTTCCGTCTCTAATTTGGAATCAATTTGTTGGATTAATTTATGTAGGAACTGAAGAATACACTTCATTCTACTAAAGAAGACATGCAAATGATGCTGATGAAATATGAAGAAGAATTTAGTAAGTTAGGTACACATATGAATGTTTTAGCCCACGCAGCTTCTGGATACCGCAAGGTTCTTGAAGAGAATCGCAAACTATACAATCAAGTGCAAGATCTCAAAGGTAATCATAATATTATAATATTAACTCTTGATGAGATATTGTTGAAATATTGTGAGAATAATAAATAATAAAAAATGTATTGAAATAGGAAATATAAGGGTGTATTGTCGAGTGCGTCCATTTTTGCCTGGGCAGCCATCTGGTTTGAGTGTTGTTGAAGCAACAGATGATCAGACTCTCACAATACCTAATCCTGGAAAATATGGAAAGGGAAAGAAGTCCTTCAATTTTAACAAGGTTTTTGGTCCATCTGCAAGCCAAGGTTATTTATTACCTAATAATAATAATAATAATATTTTTTTTTGTTATTTTTTCCATTGAAATAAATTGCTAACTCTTCATAATATTAATATGTGCAGAACAAGTGTTTTCGGACACCCAGCCGCTAATTCGTTCCGTCCTTGATGGGTATAATGTCTGTATATTTGCTTACGGACAAACCGGGTCAGGAAAGACGTATACAATGGTAACAGATTTATGTATTTTTATTTTACAAATACAATAAGTTTTTTTTTGCTAGACATTTTAAGTACAACCGGTAACTTGAAATGTCTATTATTATTTTCTGTATTTCACAGACAGGACCGAAAGAGCTGACAACTGAAGGCTTAGGAGTAAATTACAGGGCACTGGGTGATTTATTTCAGATATCGGAGCAGAGAAAAGACAGCATTTGCTACGAGATTTATGTTCAGATGATTGAAATCTACAACGAGCAAGTTAGAGATCTCCTAGTCACCGATGGTGTCAACAAAAAATATCCTTTTTCAGCAAAAACTACCTACTCTCTTTTTTTTATTATTTTTTTTTATTTTGTAGTTTTATTATTTCTGTCTGTACTGCTGATGTTTTATGCTCCTTAACTCAGTCAACACATTAGAAATTCGGAACAACTCATCAAACGGTGTGAACGTCCCAAATGCAAACCTGGTACCTGTAACTTCAACAACAGAGGTGATCCATTTGATGACACTTGGTCACAAAAACCGTACAGTTGGTTCAACGGCAATGAACGATAGAAGTAGTCGTTCTCACAGTTGCCTGACAGTTCATGTACAAGGAAGAGATTTGACTTCTGGGTCAACGCTCCGTGGCTGTATGCATCTTGTTGACCTTGCTGGTAGTGAAAGGGCTGATAAATCTGAAGCCATTGGTGATAGATTGAAGGAGGCTCAACATATTAATCGCTCTCTCTCTGCTTTAGGAGATGTTATTTCCTCTCTTGCACAAAAGCAGTCGCACGTCCCTTACAGAAACAGTAAGCTTACGCAATTGCTTCAAGATTCCCTAGGTAAGGATATTATTTTCCTGTAATTTAATCTATAATAATACATGATCTTTCTTTCCATTACGAACGACACGCTTCGCCTGCATCTCCATTCCTTATTTAATATTGTATGTATAGGAGGGCAAGCAAAGACACTAATGTTTGTACACATCAGCCCTGAGCCTGATGCTCTTGGAGAAACAATTAGTACTCTTAAATTTGCTGAACGTGTTTCCACCATTGAGCTTGGTGCTGCTCGAACAAATAAGGACACTTCTGATGTCAAAGAACTTAAAGAGCAGGTTACTTTTTACTAACTCCAATGATTTTTTTGGTTTTTTTTCTTGGTTTGCCATGTAAAAGATTTGAGTAGAAGAAAAAATGTCGTAAATATTAAATGCAGATAGCTAGTCTTAAAGCAGCGTTGTCGCGAAGAGATTCAGGCAGTCAGCAGTCTAGGTCTATAAGCCCAGACAGAGGAATAGTTAGATCTTTCGGTTCTTCTCCATCAGATTCATCTTTCGGAGATGGCATCAAGGCAGAGGTATGCATCAGTTTCTCTTTTTTAACTTCTGATTTAATTAACTGAAGATAAGATAATTCAATTGATTTGTGCAGGGAAGAAGTAACTCTTCGGCAACATCAAGAATGGCAAGCTTTGATACACAAGACTTGATGGATTCTCCTGCATGGTCGACTGAAGAAGAAAAATCAGTATCAGGTGATTGGGTTGATAAGGTAATGGTGAAGAAGCAGAACGGGGGTGGTTTGAGCAGCGGTGAAGAGAAATGGGATGAACAAGAAGGTGGTGGTAGAAACATGTTCTATAACAAGTATAATCTTGATACTTCCAAAGTATACCCAGAACAACAAAAATCTTTGAAGAAACAAAATTCAGGTCAGAGACGACACAGCCTAGATAATGGTTTGGCTCGGGCTCAACAACAACAAAACTATGACACCACCACCACACCTACTACCGATGATTCAGATGATTTCGAAGCTGAAACTAGTGATTCTTCTGAGCTCGATTACCAGTGGCAACTCAATGTTACTAAATCCAATTCCACGCCTACTACTAATAATGGAGTTGCATCCAAACTTAGGAAACCTAATCCTAAGCAGACTAAGACCCCCGATATTAGGTAATGTTTACTACTTTATTATCTATCATCTTTAGTCGATGCGCTTTATTTCATGCTTAATTTGATGTAATAATAATAATGAAAAAGTTGTATTTTCAGCAGTAGGAGCCTAATTCCACAACCTCCAAGTAGGAGAATTTCGAATGGGAACACAGCATTGCATAAACAACATGGAAGGCAAGTAGCTTCTGCTGATGGGAAACGAAAACCGGCTGGTGGCAAGTGAGACCATTAATTAGTCTTTGCTTTCATTTATATACACAACCAGAGTGAGTAAATTGGTGCCGTAAGATTTTGCTGTAATTTTGACCTTTTTTTCTTTCTTTTTTTTTCTTTTTTTTTTTTTTTTCTTTTCATGTGAATTATATTTAGTTAGGTGTCCATTGATTGAAATGAAATGGCAATGCCTCTCTCATTGCCATTTCTTATTTCCTTTGGTATTCCATTTTTTTTTTCTCTTCCAGAATTCCAGTGGTGGTCTCAGGTTTTTCGATGTCCCACTGATGAGTTGTTGTTGTTGTTAATATTGGATTTTGAGTTGTCTTGTTTTTTTTCCTTCATCTTATTATATGGACTTTTGTAATTCGTTCACACTATACCAAAGGAGAAAAGAATATGATATAGAGAAAAGGGTTTACTTCTATACATTACTTGTCGTATTATTGCATGTCTTCAATCTAACTGGATCGGGAAAAGCAGTGTCGCCAATGGGATGTGAAACAATTCAAAGTCATCGAATTTGTGTGAATTAATGTAAAAAATACAACATCAGAGGTTTAAACGTATAATATAATATGTAAAGAAATGTTTTGCTAAGGAAATTAAACAACACAAGTTTTAAATTATTATCCCTAAATATATAACTTGTGGATATGTTGTTACAGGTAAAAACTTTATTACAACAGAAGTAAAAGATCTTCATTTTTATGAAAAAATCACAAGTTGATTTCTTCGTACAAGAATCCCTAAAATCAATGACAATCTCTACTTAACAGAACTCTAGAATTACATACTAGTATTCAATGATATTGAATACAAACAGACTCAATTCTGGGGTGAAAAAAAATACACGAAAACATGGTATTGTTGAAGATGTTCCAACACCCAAAGCTCTCTGCTCTCAACGAATGAATTGCGGACCTCTCATGTTTATAGAATTCGAGAGCTCCTTGTCCTGCACGTAATAAGAACTCACTAAAAAAGATAATGAGTTAGTGGATTAGTGTGTTAGGAGATTAATTAAGCATGTGCAAATAAATTAACCACTAAGCTTAAAATAACCGTCCATTAATTAATATTAATAAATTCAATTTAAATAAATAAAATTCGTTTAAAGAAAGTTGAAACAAATTATATTTTGCTTCGACAGTCAAATATCCAACAATCTCCCTATTTATAACTTTCTGATCAAAACCAATTTTAAGCAACTCAAGATCCTCCATTTTGTCCCCTTCGAAGGATTGAGGGATGTTTGCAGCACCCATGGCAGCATCCACCAAGGTCTCAAAAGCACCAGTCGTATCTTCTTCAGATGCTTCAAACTCCTTGAAGTCATGAATGAAGACAATGGGTTCAATACTCTCATTTGGGGTTTGAAAGAAATTAAAGAATTTTCAAATTTAAGGGTTTGCATGTGAAGATCTAGGAGTATAGAGGACTAATCTGTAATTTTTCAAAAGTTTGGCTTGTGTCGTGTTTAAATCCGAAATTTAAGTTTATGTATGTTTGAAATTAAAATACTTAGCTCGTCTTTAGTGGTTAATCAAAAAATTTAAAGGACTGAATTTTTTGAGTCAAAATTGTAATTTTTGAAACTTGTTCATTTCGAATATATATATATATATATATATATATATATATATATATATATATATATTTTGCGAGAAAGGAATTTATTAGGCTAGATAAGCCAACTGAGGAGGGAGAGAAAGAGCCTCAGTCGTGGCAAAATCCATGGATACAACAAGTCCATGAGCTAGCTTATTACAAGAGCGAGGAACAAAGGAAAAACGACAGGAAAAAAATGATAAATCTAGAGTACTAATGTCATCTAAATAAGCACCATAAGGTTTTAACCAAAAGTCTTCGCCTTGGAGTGCCATAATAATTTGACGACAATCCCCTTTAATAATTACTGACGACCAACCTTTTGCACGGGCATGCTAGATTGCAATAAGAGCAGCGTGAGCTTCTCCTTCGACTGGTTGAACATGGCGTTGCAACGCTCCACCAGAGTGTAGCTCCATCGGAATTTCGAACCACCGCGGCGACCTTGTAATGCGGCTGGGATGATGGGAGTGCAGCGTCGAAATTAACTTTCACTGTTCCTTCCGGCGACGGGGTCCACTGAACTTGTGGAGCGGGGCTCTTGGTGATAGTTGGCTCCAAGCATGCCAACCTGTATATGCTGAGATAATCCTCGCTCCAATTTCGTAGCTCCCATCCTCGAAAATCCATACCTCCATGTGCTTCACTATTACGAGAGTCCCACGCTTTCCAGCAGATTACCATGGTGAGGCAGAACAATTCCTTAGAAAGGTGCTTCCTCATCTTATCGAGCCAGCCACGGAAAGAGACTGGTTCAGTCGTTGTGTCGATATCATATGGTTCGCTTTGCCAAACCTCTGGGAGATCTCTACAACCGATCAAGGTGTTGGTTAAAATACCTACACGCAAGTGCACGTATCGTACAAGTAATATAGTGGACTAAAAGTCCGGATATCGAACCCACAGGGAATATTTAATTATCTAATCCTAGACGCTAAATTCTACCAATTATTATCAAGTCCACCCTACACAGTCGAATTTTAGAGAGAATTAACTAAATTAAACTAAATTAAAAGCAAGCAAAAACAAGAAAGCAATTTAAAACAAAGATTTAATCAAGATAAGCAAGCCTAGGATTTTATTCTTCCCCATATGTGATTATTACTCACCCAATTCCTTAAATTATGCAAGCAATTAACCCGGATTATTAACCTGAGATGCTAAAATAATCATAACCCGCTTCCGCGTGTATCACGATTGTAATACTCTAGATTCAATTACTGTATTCCTATGCAATTAATTCTAGAACACAACATTAAGCACAAATCTCAATAATGGCTACCTAAGAGACTAACTATATTCCTATGTTAATACCACAAAGGTTCTTCTACCACAGTTCTAATTATTAACCCGATCTTCCGATTCATGCGATTAACAATAACATAAAAGCGCATAAAGTGGCCAGTTTCATGAACTTAATAAAACAAGTAGAAGAAATAATCCGGAATTAAAACTTGCATAAAATCATAGAATTGAGTTCATAAATCCCACATAGGGTTCCAAATAAAATCCCAGAAATAAGAAAATTAGCTACTAATGATTAAAGGAAAAACGCAAATAAAATAAGTCATAAACGATAAATCTATTCTTAGAGTCTTCGAATTCTTCGTCTTCGTTGTTGCTTTGTTGCTCTTGAAATTGCGTCCGAGATCGATCCCCAATTGTGTGCTTGTCTTGGTCTTATATAGGGTGGAAAATATGGAGAAGAAGGTAGTTTCCTTGTGCAATTAGGATTCCTTTACTACGTCTTTTCGTCATCTCGGACGGCCGTCTTGAATTTTGTACTAAAACTCGGACGGCCGTCCCAAAACCAGTGGTGCATTCTGCTTCTCAGACGGCCGTCCCAGTTTTAGCTGTAAATCTGGGACGGCCGTCCCAGTTTTAGCTGTAAATCTGGGACGGCCGTCCCATGCTAATTGCTTCAGATTTTTGATTTTTTCACTTTTGGCCCATATTTTCTCCACAATTTTAGTTTTGACCCCATACTTTTCCAATTCTTCAATTTGTACCTAAAATACAATAAATCAACTTTTTAAGCACCAATTATCGTTAAAACACACCAAAAGCTTAAATAAAAAGGTACGGTAAAGTGTAAAAATATACACTTAACACAAGGCATGCACCATAGCCTCCGTTCGGGTTCCACACAAGTTCCAGAACGGGTCTGAGGTAATATGACGACGAAAAAAGAGCCCCTTTGGCCGGGATAATATCCCATGCAGCCCTCCAAACAAAACTCTTTATTTTTCGCGGTAAAGACAAATGCCAAATATACTTCCAGAGGTCCTTGGTTCCATTGTTCGACGAGGTCCCATTCATGTGTGAATCACTAGATGTAGCCTGATTGTACATAATGTTGTGATAGCATGATTTAACCGTGAATTGGCCGGAGCGCGAGTAGTGCCACACGAGGCAGTCTTGCGCAAAGCATCTACCAATCGGGATTGCAAGGATTATGTTGTGGTCCACCGGCCAAAAGGAGGCATGGATGAGGTCCAAATCTCACACGCGGGAATCCGGCTGAATGAGATCCGAAACCCTATCCGGGAAAGCTGAGAATAGCGAACGACGGGTTAGAATGTGGAAGTTGTCGTTATTTTTCAACCATGGGTCACCCAAATAGCAGTGTCCTTTCCGTTCCCAATGCGAACGCGACATCCGGCCTTGACATGTGGTCGAGCGAGGAGAAGACTTTCTAGGTTGCCAATGGCCGGAACCCGTCGGGGCCGACCAAAAGTCGTCGGCGGGGAAATACCTCGTGCGAAGGAGCTTGGAGAGTAGGAGGTCCGGGCATGAGACAATTCTCCATGCTTGTTTGACTAGCATGGCGAGATTGAAGGAGCGGAGGTGTCTGAAACCCATGCCTCCTCGTTCTTTTGGTGTGCAAAGCTTAATCCATGAAGTCCAGGGCATCGATTGAGCTTTCCCGTTACCCCACCAAAACTGTTGTATCTATTAGCCGTATATTTATATATATTAACCATATCTTTATGTATCTTTATTATTATAGATAAATATTGTATTATTGGTATGTATATCTCCTAGTTTCCTTGTATAAAGGGTTAGGGTTTTCACACATGTAATATATATATCACAATAAACGTGAGAGATTATTATTCTCTCTTCTCTCCAAATATTCTCCTTCTATCATGGTATCAAGCCAAAAACCCTAAGCCGCCGTTTCTCTCCTTCTTCAAATTTTTTTTCTCTTTCTCGTTCTTTCTTCTTCTCGTCATACCATGGCCAACGAAACACCAACACCGACCATGATTTCCAACCCTTTTCATCTTGCTCATGCTATATCTAACATCAAAGCTCTTATTCCTGTAACCTTGGATATTAAAAATTCGAATTATCAAAAGTGGAGTCACTTCTTCACCATCACCGCAGGCCGCTTCTGCCTCACCGATCTGCTTCTCGGAAACAAAAAGCCCGCCAACATCTCCGCCGATGAATGGCAACGCGCGGATTACCTCCTCCAA